ACAAGTAACGGTTCTGCAAAGAGGAATGCGATTATTGCTGGTTATCCTTTGCATTTTTTTTCTCAATAGAAGAAGCTATAAAAGCAACAATTATTCAATTTTACCAGTCTCAGTAATGCATCCCATTAGCTTGATGACATGCGGATGCGGCTTCAGTTTCTTCATCAAATCTAGCTCCGAAAGCAAATCCTTTCTATCAGAGCTTGGTGCATTTTCTATCAGAAATAGAGAAAAGATGACTTCTAAGTGGATTTTAATTTTTCCTTTCTGAGTACGAATGTCAAATTAAAACTAAGGTAAACTGATGAATCAGTGCATTAAATACTAATTTCATTTTTAGAAGGATAGATAATAGTTCTATGCGACTCTCGTGGCTCTTACCCAAGTGATTTGAAATGTCGAAGGCCAGCGGCCAAATTCAGACTATAACAGAAAACGCCAGTCAGGAGGGGAATAGATTTCTAGCTAATGTTTGTTCTAAGGAGACTTCTGCTATTAACCATGTCAATCAATAAAGTTCAGCTTTTTTGCTTTAGTTATAACGAACCTAATCCTCCAATGGAGTTTTTGGTGGAAGCCGTTCTTAAAGTGACGAGAGGAGTGGAACATGTCCAGCTTCATGTTTTCTTTGCAATTGCAAAAAGAACAAGTAAGTTAGGACATATAGGACGGTAAAGATGTGTTAAATCTAGGTGTTGACAATGGTCGCCACGAGCCTCGACTCAGGTGAACCGAAAATTCCCTAAAGCACAAAAAATTTAAAAGATCTGATGGAAAAGATTGTGGTTTTAGTATAAGCACATGAATGTCTTGCAACAAGCAAGAAATGAACGAAATCTATTTTTCAAGCCAGATCGACCGCTCCGCTCTTACATAGACTGCCTCTTAAATTTGGCTCTCGGTGAGCTATCTCACAAACCTTTAAATTACGACAATGGTCGCCTTGAAACTCTTCTATTTCACCCTGTTGAGGGCCTCGAGTTATGTAATCCGCTCTCTAGTTATCGTGATCCCGACTCCAGCTTTGTTATTCGGCTGCCCACTGGTAAATACGTTGTTAAGAAAGAAGTCAATGATCAATTTGATCTAAACAACAAAGTCAGTTTTTCTACAATGCAAGTAAATGCACGAAGCTTGCTCATGAATTTTGATAAATTTAAGATAATGTGGAGAAATATGCAAAAATTATTTTCTGTAATCGGTGTGTCGAAACCCTGGGTTAGGGTAAATATCACTGGATACAATTTGGTCCAACTATCGTACGTCAAAAGCCTGCGGCGGAGTTGGAATCTATTTACAAAACGAAGATGATGGCAGTGGTGATGAATTTGACACAAGATCTCGCCAATTTGAATTGAAATTGCAAGTCGCAGCGCACAAGTTGCAAAGGTTGAAGAAAATTAATCATTCACTACAGAGACCTCCCTGGACTATACACGCCCTTGTTCTACACACCCACATATGTAATGCACATACCTTTGAGCATTTTAACAGCCACAGTTGTCAGTCCCTTTATTCCATTGATATTCCAAGCCAATGCTTTAGCAACCTGAGAGAAAGTCCCTGTTCCAATCACTTTTGAGACCTGAACATATTCCCGGCTGATTTCCCAGTTCCGTAACTTGGTTGCCGGATTAAGTGGCATATATTCCTGGTCCGAGTTAACTTGATTCGACTGATTTTCTCCACTGGGCAAGTCTCCTGGTCGGCGCGACTGTAAAGTGGCAGACGCTTCATCTCTTATTATCAAATTGGGCGATGTGTTTGTGTATGCTGCAGTAACGTGATCCTGTAAAAATGTAGAACAGTAGTGGTAATGACAAAAAATTTCGCTGTTAATATATTATGACATTCTCTGTACAAAGACAGTACGTAGTTCGTAATATATGTACACTGTACAAAGTAACGGTCAAACCAGGACTGCCCACGCTAAAATTCTGTTTCCTTTTTATAAGAGTTGCTGTCTTGAAATATATCATTGCAGCATTCCATTTATCGAATGTTAGATTTCTTAACAATTTAACTCTAAAACACTCCGACAATATGGAAAAACTTAAAACCATTTTGGTTTAAAAACAACGACGACGTTTCCACGTTCGCTTAACGTCATTATCAAGTCAACTGAGTGAATAAAATGGGTACAAATTTTAAAATAAACTAAGAATTCCTAAGAGACACGAATGCAAAGAAGTCTATGATAAAAAATTGATAAAAAATTCTCAAAAGTGCTAAACATATCCAATATAAAATATTTGCACGCAGAGTCACGTAAAAAGTTTGGCACGAATTGAGTCTTTTTGTGTATGTAACACAAGGCTCAATTCCTTAATGAAGAACATTTCAAAAACTAAACAATCAAACAAATAGTCCATCAGCTAGGGTGGTTGCATGGCTCACTTAAGGGGAACAAAAGAAACTCGTATATTCTTAATCTTTGACTATTAAGCATCATAAAAATGCATGATAGCAAGGATAAAACGGTAGCTTTCACTGTGTAAATCGAATTTTGAATTTACCCCCAATACGATCCTTTTGGTCGCCATCTTGGAATTCTAAATAATATTTTCTTATATGTTTCTTTTCTTAAAGGCACACAATACTTTGCCTGGGCGTATATTTGGGAAAATTAGTACCTTAGATATTATTTCAGTGTTGTCTGTTGTTGTGCGAGCTATGATGACGTCATAAATTACGTCACAATGGCCGCCATTTTCTTTTCTAGTTTATGTATTCAACCTCTATTTTAACCATCTGAAATAACTAAATTACCAATAAGGTGCTCCAAATCACAGTACTAGAAAAAACCTTTTTCTACGTTTACTTAATTAAGCACACGACGCCATGATCCAATATACATAACTCAACATAGATACATGTAACTAGGTCCAAACTTCAGTCTAGGGCTCGTTCGAGTACAGAAACGCCAGGCTTGTATAACGCCCTTTGTCACTGCTGTCACTTGCATTTGGATCTATAACTTCTCCAAGTCATAAACAATTCATCAAGCTTAAACACGGGAAATCATGACCGTGACGGTGTTTGAATATCTGATTGTTTTAGCAGATATTTCTACGATTTTAGTTTTCTGTTTATCCTTAGTTTTAGTTCCGATCGAGAAGTTATTTCAAACACTCAAGACTCTGTTTGAGCACCTTTCCAAACACCTCAAAAATTGTCAAAAATACTCAGCTACTAGCGTCGTATTTCAACTGCCTTCTCCGTGGTGACGGCTCCTCTCCAGATTGCCACTTGATAATTTTCTCTAGTAACGCGACGTCATAAAGATGACTGACATGGCTGCAAAGCCTCTGGCTAGACTTTCCCGGTTCTGGCACAGTGGACTTCATAGCCCAGCGCATCCATACTCTGGCACCCCTTCTCGTACAGCTGTCACACGAATGCTTCCTCCACTATTTCTCTG